AATAGTTTTGGTAATCCCACATCTCTTCCTAATCTCCAAACTGTGGATTCTCTGCATTATATTCACACCACACATTGCCCTCAGACATGACATCACTGCCTCCAGCCTTCTCCTTGTTGCAACATTCATCACCCATGCTTCACACCCGAATAAGAATGTTGGTATAACTATACTCTCATACATTCCCCTCTTTGCTTCTATGGGCAAAGTTCTTTGTCTTCACACTCCTCAGTGCACCACTCACCTTTTTACCCTCGTCAATTCTATGATTCACGTCATCTTTCATAGACCCATCTGCTGACACGTCCACTCCCAAATGTCTGACTAGATTCACCTCTTCCATACTCTCTCCCTCCAATCTGATATCCAATCTTCCATTACCTAAATTTCTGGTTATCCTCATCACCTTACTCTTTCCTACATTCACTTTTAATTTTCCTAACTGACTCCTCCTTTAGTTTATAAACCTTCACCTCTCTTTTACTTGCTACTTCCATTTTCCTTGTATCCCATCTAACTTTTACTCTCACTGTAGCTACAGCTAAAAAGTGATCTGATATATCTGTGGCCCCTCTATAAACATGTACATCCTGAAGTCTACCCAACAGTTTTTAATCTACCAATATATATAGTCCAACAAACTACTGTCATTACGCCCTATATCATATCTTGTATACTTATTTATTCTCTTTTTCTTAAAACATGCGTTACCTATAGCCAAACCCCTTTCTATACAAAGTTTAACCAAATGTTCCCCATTATCATTTACACCTGGCACTCCAAACTTACCTACCAAACCCTCTCTAAACGCTTCTCCCAGTTTAGCATTTAGGTCCCCTACCACAATTACTCTCTCACTTGGTTCAAAAGTTCCTATACACTTGCTTGGCGTCTCCCAAAATCTCTCTATCTTCTCTACAATCCTCTCTCCTCCAGGTGCATACACACTTATTATGACCCACTTTTCACATCCGACCCTTATTTTAATCCACATAATCCTTGAATTTACACATTTATATTCCCTTTTCTCTCTCCATAACTGTTCCTTCAACATTATTGCTACCCCTTCCTTATCTCTAACTCTCTCAGATACCCCTGACTTAATCCCATTTATTTCCCCCCACTGAAACTCACCTACCCCCTTTAGCTTTGTTTCGCGTAGGGCCAGGACATCCAACTTCTTTTCATTCATAACATCAGCAATCATCTCTTATCACACGCACTACATCCACGCACTTTCAAACATCCAAATTTTATAAAGTATTTCTTTTCCTTCTTTTTAGTAGTTTATACAGGAGAAGGGATTACTAGCCCATTGCTCCTGGCATTTAGTCGCCTCCTACGACACGCATAGCTTACGGAGGAAAAAATTCTGTTCCACTTCCCCATGGAGATAAACAGAAATAAATAAGAACAAGAACTTTTTTTTATATTTTAAAGAACAAGAACTAGGAAGAAAAAAAGAAGAAAACCCAGAGGGGTTAGTATAAACATGCTTGTACATGCATGCGTAGTGTGACCTAAGTGTTAGTAGAAGTAGCAAGAAATACCTGGAACCTTGCATGTTTATGAGACAGAAAATGACACCAGCAATCCTACCATCATGTAAAACAATTACAGGTTTGTGTTTCACACTCATTTGGTAGGACGGTAGTATCTCCCTGGGTGGTTGTTGTCTACCAACCTACTATATATATATATATATATATATATATATATATTATATATATATATATATATATATATATATATATATATATATATATATATATATATATATATATATATATATATATATATATATATATATATAAGATGCTTTATGACGTCACTGGAGACATCCTGGGCCATGTGTCTCCAAGTATCGAAGTCACCTGTGTCTCCTAGTATCCCTTATGGAGCACTCTCCTTAAAGATGCCTTGATGCCGGCGAGGGGCTCTTGATCTAAGGAAGTGGAACTGTCATCAACTTCCTTGGATCGAGCCTGATTGCCGCATTTTTTGTATATTAAGTGAAAATATGGGATAAATTTCCACAGCATAATTTTTTCTGGAGTTCATTACTACTACTACCACTAATAATAATATTATTAATTACTATTATTGTATTATTTAGAAGCGTTAATTAAGCCTGTAGAAGACAGTATTTGGGACGCTCAGGGACTGACTACCTCATATCTGCACCTCCACGACTGAAGAGGCCTGCTGAGCAGGCGAAACGTCTCGTCAGTACTGACTCACGTGTCTTGCTCATCTGGGAGATAATGAGATTTTATCCAAAACAAAGAATGGTAGCTCCAGTTCTCTGGATCAAGAACCCTTCAATGGTGTCGCGTCTGGGAAATAAAACGTTCAGTTTATATTGTTTATAATTTATTGGTTCCATCCATCAATTTCTTCACAGCTTATCAACTGACAACAAAAACATAGGCCGGGTTAGGCCTATACACGATAATAATAATAATATATATATATATAATAATATGATAATCAAAAATAATTATAAAAGTATTAATGATGAAAAAACTTGGTGAGAGCCTCGAGCTAATCGGTGACCATGTTTGACCTGGTGGCTGGGCCCGGACTGGAGACAGTGACCGTCCTACTCTGGCCACCGAGAACTGTTTCCTGCGTGACCGTGTCCGATTGGCTTCGTAATTGTCAGGATTCGCCGAGCTTGGTGACCATGTCAAGGCTTCACGTCCATTCCCGTCCCGATAACAAAGCCGAGTGCGGCAATCATATAAAGGCTTCGCGTTCATTCCTGTCGTGATAACGAAGCCGAGTGCGGCAACCGTATAAAGGCTTCACGTCCATTCCCGTCCTGATCAGTCCACCAGGGAACCTCATCCTTCAGCACTCCACCGGGCCAGCCACCACAAAACACACATGTGTCGTGGACCGCCTGCCGGTCCACCAACGTAAGAACAGGCCCAATACTAGCGTACGTAATTACAAAAATATATCGTAACTCTTGGTGGACCAAGAGGCGGACCACTGTCACTACACTAGATACATGTAAAACTAAATGCCACACCAAGAAGAAGTACAAACAAGCTCCAAAAGGAGAATAAAATCCACAATACCGTGGCTGGAACAGTTCACCAAAAAAACCCAATTTGGAGTCGAAACTTTAGCCGGCGTTTCAGTCCTTCATGGACATTATAAATGGTCCACGACGGACCGAAACGTCGTAGTAACGTTTCCATCTCTAAATTAACGGCCGTGAAAGGTTCCAGAAGTTCTTATCTATTTATAGAAAGAGATATGAGGAATGAGTTATAATGGAAGGAGAGAGAGAGAGAGAGAGAGAGAGAGAGAGAGAGAGAGAGAGAGAGAGAGAGAGAGAGAGAGAGAGAGAGAGAGAGAGAGAGAGAGAGAGAGAGAGAGAGAAAGAGAGACTGAGACTTTGAAACATTCCTATCTCATTCAAATGGAATGAGTTTGTAGAGAGACAAATGAGACTGAAAGAGGAATGCTTTTCACGTGGAAGAGCAACAGCCACAAAACAATGACTTAAGAGAGGGCTCTTGGTCTTTCGTTACGTTAGACATGGACTCGCACACACACGTTACACTCAAAGCCAATAGTATAGATATTGCTGACACGTTCAAGGAAGAGTGAGCAGCGAGGCAGCATGCCATGAACGGCTGGGTTCTGGTGTCATGAACGGCTGGGTTCTGGCGCCATGAACGGCTGGGTTCTGGTGTCATGAACGGCTGGGTCCTGGCGCCATGAACGGCTGGGTTCTGGTGTCATGAACGGCTGGGTCCTGGCGCCATGAACGGCTGGGTTCTGGTGTCATGAACATTTGGGTCCTGTCGCCATGAACGGCTGGGTTTTGGTGTCATGAAAAGCTGGCTCCCAGCATCATGAACAGCTGGCTCCCAGCATCATGAACAGCTGGCTCCCAGCATCATGAACAGCTGGCTCCCAGCATCATGAACAGCTGGCTCCCAGCATCATGAACAGCTGGCTCCCAGCATCATGAACAGCTGGCTCCCAGCATCATGAACAGCTGGCTCCCAGCATCATGAACAGCTGGCTCCCAGCATCATGAACAGCTGGCTCCCAGCATCATGAACAGCTGGCTCCCAGCATCACATTGCCTAAACTTTCCCAAAACAAGATTCCAAATTTCTGACCACTTCCCCCTCCCCCTTGAACACCCATATATAAAAATCCATTATCATCTAAGCTCAGCCAAGGTAATCCTACGAAAATTAATTAAGATAATCACATTTTACACTGCTTTAGACAATTACTAAAACGTAATATAACAGGTTTAGCCCTATTTTTGGAAACGTAATGGAGACAAGAGTCGGATTTTTAAATTTTGGTCATCAAAGGTAAAAATATTTTTTTGGGGGGGGAGGAGGGAGAGGGGAAGATAATTAATGGCAAATACAAGTATGTTACAAGAAGAGCATAGTGATTGTTATGCTAGCTTAGCCTATCAGAACCAAAAATCCACATAAAAAAAACATTCTTCCCTATCATCTGACCACAAATAATGCATTTCTCATTTGATTAAAGATTTCTTTATATATATTTATATATATTTTTTTTTTACATTCACAAAATAATTGGCAGAGATCTACCATCATTCCTATTAACATTACAACTGGTCTATTTCTGAATATACCTTGATTCAACTATATATACCGCTAATTAATCTTAGGTAAATCTAGTATAATTTTGAAAAAAAAGCATCTGAAACTGTACATAAAGACTAGCGGTGCGTGCAACACTCGCTCAACTACAAGCAAACACTCTTTACAGAACTATCAAACACTAGTCAACTAACTCAACCTCAAACAAGATCAACACTAACAACCATGTTGTAACAGTTACACCTTCTGTTGCCTCTCTCGCATCAACCATACACAAAATACACAAAATACAGGATATCCTTATATATATATATATATATATATATATATATATATATATATATATATATATATATATATATTATATATATATATTATATATATATATATATATATATACATATCATTGAGAAAGAAAGATATTGAAAATAATATTATTATTGTTAGAGGAACGCCCGTGTTGAGAGCGGTGTTAGGTTCGTCTGAGAGGGTTGTGAATGGCGTCGTAGAACAGGTTGACTGGATTAGTCAGCATCCAGTCTTGGGCCTGGTGAGTGTGTGGCCGTCGATCCCCCGACGTTCAGGTACTTAACGGATATTCCTGAAAGAGTTCATACTTCATATCCTTACGGCCAGCCTATGAAAGCAGCCATAATGTTTTACAATATGAAAAAAACGTAAACAAATAAAAAGGCCCTCTCGTTTAATGGCTCTTGTAAAGAGGAGTTGGTCTGACTGCCCCAGTCTGCTGCCAGAGGTAATATTGTTCACATGTAGGATTTGCATAAACCCAAAATAAATTACACACTTCAAAATCAGCAGGAAAAAGTCACTCTCACACACGGGAGGGGATTAAAAAATATAGAAAATCTTTGTTTTTCTCCTCAACTTCAGCGAGGATGAGTCTGTCAACCTCACACGACAACCATAACAATTGCAGTTCCGACTGTAACAACGACAGTTCCACACCAAACAAACGACACACGAGATTACGCATGACACCCATAATACTGTCAGTTCAGCACTCAAAATTGACAACAGCTATAAAGCTTAACAAGGTCAGCTTCATTAATGCTTACAGAAATAAAGCTTGTCTCACTTCTACCTTACAAAGTTTGCGCATCTCTACACAAGTCGACTTTAAAAAAAAAAAAAGAGTCAAGTTAAAACTTTGATTATTCCCAGCAAACCCGACACTTTAAAACCCACAACATCGCCTTAATACACAAAAATATCTTCAGAGAAAGACTTAAAAGTTTGATGAGAAAACACGAAGCCTCCAGATATATCACACGCATGCAAGAGGAGTCTCGAGGATTTATTTTATATCCTTTTTTTTGAAGTCGTAACAATGATATGGTAGTTTCATGCTTCCTAAAACGGAGATCAAAGTGATTCTTGTTCTTAAGTACCTATAATGATCTATACCTAGCGGTCGTTAGGTGTCTAGGTGACTAATTTCACCAGTACGGTCAAATATGTCTCACTATGTACACATGAAATGAGGCCAGAGTAACTCTTCTCTGTACTGGAATTTACAGGAAGGCGATGACATGGTGAGTAACTTGTGCACTGGTGATGTCTTGTGATGTTAAGAGTGACCTCCATGCACTAGGTGAGGTCAGAGTGACCTCGGCTCCCAGAGGCCGGCCAGCCACGAAATCAATAGTCCGGTTTAAGATAGATTTTTATGAGGGAGTGGAGAGAGAGGCAGGTTAAGTAGGCATGGATGCCACGCCCTGTTATGTTCCCTCACTCTGTGCTCTCTCCTGCCCTGCATTGCACTTCTTGGTGCCCTGCATTGCACTTCTTGGTGCCCTGCATTGCACTTCTTGGTGCCCTGCATTGCGGTGCTGTCCAAGATGCGGTTTCTGTACAAAACGAGAAATTTCTTACAAACTTCAGAAGTGACTTAATTTATGTATTTAACCGGCAAGTATGTTTGTGTTTGTGTGAGGGTCCTCACACAGCAGTGTTTGCTGGGGTTCCAGTCTCAGCTCCTGGCCCCTCCATTTCAACTACGATTACCTCTATTATATGCTTCTTGCATCTTGGTTCATATCGTACCCAGTCTTGTAACCATTTACTGTTTTTTTTTTGCCTCCAAGGATTTTTAATCAAGTTCATTCTGCTTATTCTCCATCCTAAGGCTGAAGAAATATTCCCTAACATTCCTGCGGACTATCTACATTCTTAGCCTCGATATGTGTCCCTTTTGCCTCTGTGCCTCAGGTGTTATAGCCTTTTATCCATCGGTTTTATCTAAACCTCGTAAGTATTATGAAGGTCGTAATCATAGCTCACCTGATTTGTCGTTTTTTTGAGCGTCAGGTTTAGTTCCGTTAGTAGTTGAAGCCTCTGAGCTCCAGTACAAGGTTTCTGCAAACCTCTCTCTTAAATAGTTTTAAAGTGTGTTGGACCATCAGTGTGTTGGACCAGCAGTGTGTTGGACCAGCAGTGTGTTGGACCATCAGTGTGTTGGACCAGCAGTGTGTTGGACCAGTAGTGTGTTGGACCAGCAGTGTGCTGGACCATCAGTGTGTTGGACCAGCAGAGTGTTGGACCAGCAGTGTGTTGGACCATCAGTGTGTTGGACCATCAGTGTGTTGGACCAGCAGTGTGTTGGACCAGCAGTGTGTTGGACCAGCAGTGTGCTGGACCATCAGTGTGTTGGACCAGCAGAGTGTGGGACCAGCAGTGTGTTGGACCAGCAGTGTGTTGGACCAGCAGTGTGTTGGACCAGCAGTGTGCTGGACCATCAGTGTGTTGGACCAGCAGTGTGTTGGACCAGCAGTGTGCTGGACCATCAGTGTGTTGGACCAGCAGTGTGTTGGACCAGCAGTGTGCTGGACCATCAGTGTGTTGGACCAGCAGTGTGCTGGACCATCAGTGTGTTGGACCAGCAGTGTGTTGGACCAGCAGTGTGCTGGACCATCAGTGTGTTGGACCAGCAGTGTGCTGGAGCATCAGTGTGTTGGACCATCAGTGTGTTGGACCATCAGTGTGTTGGACCAGCAGTGTGTTGGACCATCAGTGTGTTGGACCAGCAGTGTGTTGGACCAGCAGTGTGCTGGACCATCAGTGTGTTGGACCAGCAGTGTGCTGGACCAGCAGTGTGTTGGACCATCAGTGTGTTGGACCATCAGTGTGTTGGACCAGCAGTGTGTTGGACCAGCAGTGTGTTGGACCATCAGTGTGTTGGACCATCAGTGTGTTGGACCAGCAGTGTGTTGGACCAGCAGTGTGTTGGACCAGCAGTGTGCTGGACCATCAGTGTGTTGGACCATCAGTGTGTTGGACCAGCAGTATGCTGGACCATCAGTGTGTTGGACCAGCAGTGTGCTGGACCATCAGTGTGTTAAACCAGCAGTGTGTTGGACCAGCAGTGTGTTGGACCAGCAGTATGCTGGACCAGGATGGTTCTGTGGGTTCCGTGACGGACCAGACGTAGTAAGTCCAGTTAAGTCTTCAGGGATTTACAACACAGAAGAAACTCTCCCTAACTTCACATATACTTCGATCTTATGTGGATTGTATTGGTTTCTGGTGATATGTTTGGTGTTATGTTTACTCACAGATCTTTCCCTCTGCACGATATCTGTAGAGTCTCCCCTGTCAGGTTGTTCTCTAGCACCGGTCTTCTCCCTCCCTCTCTCTAACTGGTATGCCTAATGATTTAGGTTTAAATGTAGAAACTGTTTGTGTACTCATCTATATGTTGTTGTATTGTCGAGTCATAGCTCCTGGCTCCGTCTATGAGTGCGTGAGAGTGTGTACGTGTGCGTGTGTGTGTAATACACCCACCCATTACACCTCACTCTCAGGATCTACTTGTACACCAACACTGGTACACTCAACCAAACTACGCTGTGCTGTACACCTGTACCTGTACGACACCTGTGATACACCTGCGCACTCAGTATACAGTCCTACAGCTACACAACTGTACGCCTTATTCCATATTCTACACCTTAGTACACCCAATACACCTGTCATACACACACAACACACCTGTCATACACTCACTACACACCTGTCATATACTAACTACACACCTGTCATACACTCACTACACACCTGTCATATACTCACTACACACCTGTCATATACTCACTACACACCTGTCATAAACTCACTACACACCTGTCATACACTCACTACATACCTGTCATATACTCACTACACACCTGTCATATACTCACTACACATTTGTCATACACTCACTACACACCTGTCATATACTCACTACACACCTGTCATAAACTCACTACACACCTGCCATACACACACACTACACACCTGGCCTCTGGTTACCAGTGCTTATCCTCGTAAAATTATAATAATTTTAGGAAATATATATATATATATATATATATATATATATATATATATATATATATATATATATATATATATATATATATATATAATATATATATATATATAATATATATATATATATATATATATATATATATATATATATATATATATATATATATATATATATATATATAATTATTAAGTGATGTACGTGGTGGATGATATGTGGGTCGTGATGAGTGATGGGTGGGTCGAGGTGGGTGATGGGTGGGTCGAGGTGGGTGATGGGTGGGTCGTGCTGATGGGTGGGTCGTGGTAGTGATGGGTGGGTCATGGTGGGTAATGGGTGGGTCGAGGTGGGTGATGGGTGGGTCGTGGTGATGGGTGGGTCGTGGTAGTGATGGGTGGGTCATGGTGGGTGATGGGTGGGTCGAGGTGGGTGTATGGGTGGGTCGAGGTGGTGATGGATGGGTCGTGGTGGTGGTGGGTGATGGGTGGGTCGAGGTGGGTGCTGAGTAGGGGGAGTGGTGATGGTAATGATAATGGTGGTAGTGATGGTCGTAATTGTGGTGGTAGCAATGGTGATGGTATTGATGGTGGTGGTTGTGGTGGTGGTAGTGGGTGGTAGTAATGATGATAGTAGTGATGGTGGTAGTAATGGTGATGGTAGTAATGGTGGCGGTAGTAATGGTGGTGGTAGCAATGGTGATGGTAGTGGTGGTAGTAGTGGTGGTAGTAGTGGTGGTGGTAGTGATGGTGGTAGTGGTGGTAGTGATTGTGATAGTGGTGGAAGTAATGGTGGTAGTAATGGTGACAGTAATGGTGGTGGTGGTAGTAATGGTGTTAGCAATGGTGGGGGTAGTAGTGGTGGTGGTAGTGATGGTGGTAGTGGTGGTAGTGATTGTGATAGTGGTGGAAGTAATGATGGTAGTAATGGTGGTAGTAATGGTGGTAGTAATGGTAGTAATGATGGTAGTAATGGTGGTAGTAATGGTGGTTCAACAATATTATCTCTCACTCATCATATTCAACAATGTAGTTGTACCATGAACAATACAGTAGTGGTGACGTGAACAATACGGTAGTCGTGGTGTGAACAGTACCGTAATCGTAGCGTAAACAACACGGTAGTCGTGGAGTGAACAATGCAGTAGTCGTAGCGTGAACAATACAGTAGTACCATGAACAATACGGTAGTCGTAGCGTGAACAATACGGTAGTCGTAGCGTGAACAATACGGTAGTCGTAGCGTGAACAATACGGTAGTCGTAGCGTGAACAATACGGTAGTCGAAGCGTGAAAAATACGGTAGTCGTAGCGTAAAGAATACGGTAGTCGTAAATTATTGCTTCTGGATCAGTCGTCGACCTTCTTACAATATCCCTAAAGCAACCCCAAATTTATTTCTGCATTACCGATACGCAGTTGAATTTTTTTAATGATCCTGGTAAAAAAAATATATTGAGAATCTAACTCAAAATAAAAAAAATTAGCGAAGTCTATTGTCGACAACTCTTAACTTTTTCCCTGTGCAAAAATTATTTTTTTTCCGTATTTTCAACGACTGATGAGGAATTTACCATTACCTCGTAGATGGGTGATCTGTGAGGGATTTACCAGTACCTCGTAGATGGGTGATCTGTGAGGGATTTACCAGTACCTCGTAGATGGGTGATCTGTGAGGGATTTACCAGTACCTCCTAGATGAGTGATCTGTGAGGGATTTACCAGTACCTCGTAGATGGGTGATCTATGAGGGATTTACCAGTACCTCGTAGATGAGTGATCTGTGAGGGATTTACCAGTACCTCGTAGATGGGTGATCTATGAGGGATTTACCAGTACCTCGTAGATGGGTGATCTATGAGGGATTTACCAGTACCTCGTAGATGGGTGATCTATGAGGGATTTACCAGTACCTCGTAGATGGGTGATCTGTGAGGGATTTACCAGTACCTCGTAGATGGGTGATCTGTGAGGGATTTACCAGTACCTTCTGCAACTGATGACTGACCCAATACACCAGTGGAACTGGGAAATCGCGTCGTGGCCAGAACCCTTGGTAAACCAATGGTGAAACTAGTAGAAGGTATAGTATACTAGTAGAAGGTGTAGCATACTAGTAGAAGGCAGAGTAAACTAGTTGAAGGAATGGTAAACTAGTGGAAGGTATGGTACACCAGTGGCAGGGCTTAGCAGGTAAGTTTTAGCAGTGGTTGTGAATAAGTTGAAGCAATCACCACTGGAGTTGAGAGTTCTTCACCACCTCACTATCCACTGTTTCCTGTCAGCACGATGAAGGGTTACACTGACAACATTTCCACCCGACAGAGGAGCAGCAGCAGCAGCATCAGCACCAATAGCAACAACCTTTCGAGCGCTAGGTTAGAAGAGTGCCAAGACGGCAGGGATAACCTCAAGCCGAGCGAAACATTGCAATAGAAACGAAGCCCAGGGAAAAGCGATACGTTTTTAAAGAAGGCACGTGCCGAGTGTAGCGAGTGATACAAATGGTACTAAGTGTACTACAGTGGTACTATGTGTACTACAGTGGTACTATATGTACTACAGTGGTACTAGAACACAATGGAACACTATCTAGTTGAACAAAATCATGAGGTTTGTGACTGGTTGGTTGGGCGGTCAGTCTCTAACACAAATACTGCATATATATATATATATATATATATATATATATATATATATATATATATATATATATATATATATATATATATATATATATATATTTTTTTTTTTCTGACCTTGGTATTTCAAAATATTGAGACTAATTTTTTTACAGAAATGATATACATCAGTAATATAAATTGTTTGTTTACAAGTGTACACGCAACTCAAGCTCTGAACAACATTTGATTTGGAAGTGTTGCAGTGATTAAGAGGACACACCTGGAACACCAGCTGGTCTAGTGTTGCCACCTGGAACACCAGCTGGTCTAGTGTTGCCACCTGGAACACCAGCTGGTCTAGTGTTGCCACCTGGAACACCAGCTGGTCTAGTGTTGCCACCTGGAACACCAGCTGGTCTAGTGTTGCCACCTGGAACACCAGCTGGTCTAGTGTTGCCACCTGGAACACCAGCTGGTCTAGTGTTGCCACCTGGAACACCAGCTGGTCTAGTGTTGCCACCTGGAACACCAGCTGGTCTAGTGTTGCCACAACTTTGGATTGGAATTTCTCGAGATTGCTCCGACTTCATAAATATATTTGGAATAAGGATGAAATATTATGAATTATATATGTCTTTATATATAGTTCTTGTGTAATATAACTTTTCTTAATAAAATTTGAACAAGGACTTTATAAACACTTCATATATATATATATATATATATATATATATATATATATATATATATATATATATATATATATATATATATATATATATATATATATATATATATGAAATTATGTTAACTACATGTTTCTTTAAATGTGTTCAAAACTATAATAACAAGAGAAGAGGATTTAGAAAATCCATGATAGTTGTGAGTTGTTTTGGTCAGTGATGATGGCAGGTGTTCTGTTGGTGCTTGGGTGGAGGGAGGGAGGAGGGGGTAGGGAGGTCGCCCACCCTCCACACACACACACATACACACATACATACACACACACACACACACACACACACACACACACACACACACACACACACACACACACACACACACGCACACGCACACACACACACCATCATCATCATCATGGTCCAGGCAACAGATGCCACCACCAGCAGAGACGCTCACGACGGGAGAATCAAAGTATTGGTCCTCCTCATCAATTTTCTTGGTTTTACCTACAGAACACTGCTGTTCGTGTGCGTGCGCGCGCGGTGCCGCTGGTGGAGGTGCTGCTGCCTTTTATGATACCCTTTACCAAGTGTTTTCCTTGACGAAGGTGGACAGTAGGCCCAGGGCCACCAGCACGTGAGGGCAGGTCAACACAGACGCCCTGTTGGGGGAGCGGTTCTGCAGGAAGAAGGTAAGAAAGGAGAACGCTATTATTGTACAAGTACACAGGTGAGCTTCACAGGCTGGAGGTAAGTTCGCCAATCTGCTATCGCAAAACAAACGCCTAATGTTTGTGTTTTGGGGGTACTGTTGCTGATCATTCCGTACATTGTTTGAAGCAATACTGACTTGAAAGGTGAGTGACATTCAACTTATTAATAGTTAAGATCTTTGGAGGGGACTGAGGGATCTTTAATATGCCACCACCAACAATGGAGTGAGCACAGACGTACAGGAACACATTTACGGTTGGAATTCAAGTCTCAAGTGTGTGGAGACTGTGTGCTCTCGTCTTGAGAGGAGAGAGAGAAAAAAACTATCCTAAGGAACTTATGCTAACGTACGGTCGCGATGCAGAACACAGCTATTATCTAACTAGAGGTCAGGCGGCAGACTCGGGTCACAACACTCACTCAAGAAGCACTCAGGTCAAAGGTCATACCCGCGACAGGGAGACCACAGTGTCTGTGGACTCCTAGCTACACTACCACCGAGAGATAGAGTCTTACCAAGACATGCATTTTGTACAGGGTTGAGTTAAGAGCAGCCACCGTGACCTAGTCTCGCTACACAAATTAAAACATACAGGCGTGCTATTACGTCTATCAATGTGGCAACGAACTGTTTAAGAGTCTATTTTAAAGAGAGGGTAGGGAGGGAGGGAGCGGCCTTGGCAGATGAACCGTTAATTATTTATTAACTTCTAGACTAATTTAGAATTGCATTGACTTTTAACAGATGTTCTTCATGCCCAACTGAGGCAGAGCTTTGATGAGTGAAGCAGAGGTTTGCAGGTGTCTACAACCGGTTTGAGGTGTCCACAACCGATTGGAGGTATCCACAACCGGTTATAGGTGTCCACAACCGGTTAGCAAGTACGGAAACCAACCACTGAGAAGACCGACTGACTAGCTAGTCCCCCCCCGGCGATGCTATGTTAAGCCTCCTAGATTAGGTTGCAAGTGTGTGTGTTGAAACTTAAGTTGCAAACACTGTGTGTGTGTGTGTGTGTGTGTGTGTGTGTGTGTGTGTGTGTGTGTGTGTGTGTGTGTGTGTGTGTGTGTGTGTGTGTGTGTGCGTGTGTTTATGTGTAAGTGTGAGTGCCCGTGTGTGTATGTGTGTTCCTCCTCGCCCCATCACCTCCCACATTCTGCTGCTATTGCAGTAACGTCGTGGCTACGTTACGACGTGTCACGTAACAATAACATCATGTAAGACAACGCATGCAGTAACACAACATAGTAACATCCTGGTAATATCGACTGGAATCATTTAACAATGACATGATATTGAACCATGATTCAGTGAACCATGATTCAGTGAACCATGATTCAGTGAACCATGATTCAGTGAACCATGATTCAGTGAAGATTTTACGTCACAGCGATCATCTGATGATGCCACTGCAATAGCGGAAGAATGTAGTGCTGACGAGACAGCACTAGACGTAATGTCGACGTAATGTTACGTCTACTTGCAGAAAATGACTGACTTCGTGTATTTTAAAATATTCTCGGAGTAAGATTTCTTCAAACGTTCTTATTTTTAACAGTTTATTTCTTGGTAAATTAATTATGGATCTATGGTAATTATGACCATTATCAATCATAACTGACAGATAATGATTATGCTTTATCACCTTTCTCTTCCAATATTAAACTTGCTGATATTAGAATCAAATTAACTATTTGAGAAGTTAATATATAAAACTGTTTATCGAATATTAGTTTACTTTATTGCTGGTTTAATAATTTAATTTATCACTGGTAGCACCTGGTTCCTAGTATATATATATATATATATATATATATATATATATATATATATATATATATATATATATATATATATATATATATATATATATATATATATATATGTATATATATATATATATATATATATATATATATACACATAATCAACATGTACGAAATACCTGTTGACTATCATCTACAAGAACATAATCAACAATAAGAACGTCAATAACAGCAGCAGTGGTTAGTTACAAACACAGACATCAACAAACAAGCAATAAGTTATAACCAAACCAAAGAACACAATATAAAACAAAAACTATTAAACACTTGTATCACAAGTTAGTTTAAAAATGCATTAACCTAAAGCTATTTAACACGTTCTCTAGAATTGTTAAATTCAGTTTATTAACAGTTATGTAAGAGCTGACAGTAAAGTTAACTTGGTCAATCTCTTCTTTAGTTACTCCACCAAGTTTAATTATCAGTTTCCCTTCACAGTCTGTAATATTAACTTGGTTCTGCATTTGTCATATTTTTACATTTCCTGACGCGGGTCTTAGTCACGTGATGACCCACAGTTTTGGAGCTTTTGGTCAGCTGACCGATGCCTTCTGCTAGCTTACTCCTCCACCTCTTTAAAAGTTATACATTCCTCAATAGTCTGGAATTTTTGTAAGGATAATTTATTATACTGGTGAAGACAAGGGCAGAGGAGTAAGTGAAACATGGCATGATATATCCGTAGACTTTACGCGGCTGTCTAGTGGATTTCTGATTCACGAAATCGTAATGACACGATTGCAAATAAACCATACCACGGGCGGGGCTTGAACCCGAATTGTGAAAACTCCAGACCCACGTATTAGCATTGGACTGTGTTACAACCCTGCCTGGTCTCAGACCGGCCCGCGGGGGCGTTGATCCCGAAACTCTCTCCAGGTAAACTCCAGGTAATCTAACATGAAAAATAATACAAAGATACATCTTTTTGTAACATTTTGCAAATTGCAAAACTCTAACTAGTGATTGCAAAACTCTGACTAGTGATTGCAAAACTCTGACTAGTGATTGCAAAACTCTGACTAGTGATTGCAAAACTCTTAACTAGTGATTGCAAAAATCTAACTAGTGATTGCAAAACTCTGACTAGTGATTGCAAAACTCTAACTAGTGATTGCAAAACTCTAACTAGTGATTGCAAAACTCTAACTAGTGATTGCAAAACTCTTAACTAGTGATTGCAAAACTCTAACTAGTGATTGCAAAACTCTAACTAGTGATTGCAAAACTCTAACTAGTGATTGCAAAACTCTAACTAGTGATTGCAAAACTCTAACTAGTGATTGCAAAACTCTAACTAGTGATTGCAAAACTCTAACTAGTGATTGCAAAACTCTAACTAGTGATTGCAAAACTCTAACTAGTGATTGCAAAACTCTAACTAGTGATTGCAAAACTCTAACTAGTGATTGCAAAACTCTGACTAGTGATTGCAAAACTCTAACTAGTGATTGCAAAACTCTAACTAGTGACTGCAAAACTCTAACTAGTGATTGCAAAACTCTGACTAGTGATTGCAAAACTATGACTAGTGATTGCAAAACTATGACTAGTGATTGCAAAACTATGACTAGTGATTGCAAAACTATGACCATTGATTGCAAAACTATGACTAGTGATTGCAAAACTATGACCATTAATTGCAAAACTATGACTAGTGATTGCAAAACTATGACTATTGATTGCAAAACTATGACCATTAATTGCAAAACTATGACCATTAATTGCAAAACTATGACCATTAATTGCAAAACTATGACTATTGATTGCAAAACTATGACTATTGATTGCAAAACTATGACTATTGATTGCAAAACTATGACTATTGATTGCAAAACTATGACTATTGATTGCAAAACTCTAACTAGTGACTGCAAAACTCTAACTAGTGATTGCAAAACTCTGACTAGTGATTGCAAAACTCTAACTAGTGATTGCAAAACTCTGACTAGTGATTGCAAAACTATGACTAGTGATTGCAAAACTCTGACTAGTGATTGCAAAACTATGACTAGTGATTGCAAAACTATGACTAGTGATTGCAAAACTATGACTAGTGATTGCAAAACTATGACCATTAATTGCAAAACTATGACTAGTGATTGCAAAACTATGACTATTGATTGCAAAACTATGACCATTAATTGCAAAACTATGACCATTAATTGCAAAACTATGACCATCAATTGGAAAACTATGACTATTGATTGCAAAACTATGACTATTGATTGCAAAACTATGACTATTGATTGCAAAACTGTCTAAATATTTCACGCTGTGAAGGGAAATTGATCTCTAAAGTTGGTGGAGTAACTAAAGTAAAGACTGATCAAGTTAACTGTGATGTCAGCTCTTCCAAAAGTATTGATAATCTAAATTTAACAATTCTAGAGACCTGCTTAACCAACTTTAACATAATTTATCCGTAAACAAACTTGTGATAAACCGTTGTAACAGTTGTAGTTTATTTTATGTGAGTCAGTTATTTATTGTTTCTTGTTATTGTCTGTGTTTCTTGTTGTTGTCTGTGTTTCTTGTTGTTGTCTGTGTTTCTTGTTGTTGTCTGTGTTTCTTGTTATTGTCTGTGTTTCTTGTTATTGTCTGTGTTTCTTGCTGTTGTCTGTGTTTCTTGTTATTGTCTGTGTTTCTTGTTATTGTCTGTGTTTCTTGTTGTTGTCTGTGTTTCTTGTTATTGTCTGTGTTTCTTGTTGTTGTCGTCTGTGTTTCTTGTTATTGTCTGTGTTTCTTGTTATTGTCTGTGTTTCTTGTTGTTGTCGTCTGTGTTTTCTTGTTATTGTCTGTGTTTCTTGTTGTTGTCTGTGTTTCTTGTTATTGTCTGTGCTTGTTGTTGTTGTCTGTGTTTCTTGTTGTTGTTTGTGTTTCTTGTTGTTGTCTGTGTTTCTTGTTGTTGTCTGTGTTTCTTGTTGTTGTCTGTGCTTCTTGTTATTGTCTGTGTTTCTTGTTGTTGTTTTTGTGTTTCTTGTTGTTGTTTGTGTTTCTTGTTGTTGTCTGTGTTTCTTGTTGTTGTTTGTGTTTCTTGTTGTTGTCTGTTTTTTTGTTATTGTCTGTGTTTCTTGTTGTTGTCTGTGTTTCTTGTTGTTGTCTGTGTTTTTGTTGTTGTTTGTGTTTTTCTTGTTG